TTTTTTGTTGGTTTGGGGTATTTTTTTGGTTTTGTTTGTTTCTTGCTTTGGGTTTTTTTTAGGGGGACGAGGAGGGTGGAGGTTGATGTTGTGGGTTTTTTTGGGAAGAGAAGGAGATAGTTCTGACTTCGCCTGATTAGTTTAATCTATTTAACCTGTAGTAGAATTTTGTACTTTGACTCGAGTGGTCTCTGTGACTGTTGAAAAAAATGCTCCTGTATCCAAAAATTGTGAAGCATCTATATTTAATCTGTTTTGTTTTAAATAACTTAATGAGGAATATAGTTATCCGGTTCAGAGCTAAGTTTTATTGAGTTGCCCTGTAGTCTTTGCTTAAATTTAACTTCCACTAATTTTCTCAAAAAGACGTAGTTGCTTCTCAGTTACCAGGGGTTGAATCCACATGGACAAGCATTATAGTGAACTGCCTGGCAATGACAGTGGATTTTGAAATGCTTTGTTTACTGGAGTGAAATTGAGTGAAATTTTTGATAGAAAGTTGAAGGATTTTTTTTTTTGTTAATTCATGTATACATACTATATGCCCATATACACAACTGCAACAGATACTTCTGATCAAAATAATTTGATCTACATGTGCATTTATATGAACCGAATATATCAAAATATTGCATTTGCTGTGAGATATAATCCTTCTGCACATGAAAATATTTTATTTCCTAACTAGTCATACCACAGGCTCTGAAATTAAGTTATCTTTGTGTGAGGAAAAAACTACTTGTGAATTAAATGAATTTATCATCTTTGGTATTTTTTAAGATTTTGTCTAGGTTTAGTTTCAAACTATATTTAAGTTAAATCTAAGTGAAAAAATGAATACACTTTGATTCTGCACTGACCACAATGTACAGATATGAAAGAAAAATGGGAAGAAATTATCATTGTGGCTTTTTGCTTTTCAGGTGACTTTTTTTCTTAATGTCTTACAAATAATATAAATATTTTCTTACCCTTTCTAGTTATTGCAGTGGTCTCTTTTTTACCTTGTATTAACATAGAATGTATTTTTGGTCATAGCCACAGTAAATATGTAAACCAAAGTATTATTGTCTTAGTTCAGCTGTTTTCCCTATTCGTGCTTGAAGCATGGACTAAGCAATGGAATAAGAAGGAAACTTAATGCTTATTGTCCACTAGACACCTTCTATACACTACTAAAGAGTTTCAGATGAGAGAAACACTGTAATTTTGCTGACAAAATCACCTTCATTTCTGAAAGATTTTCCTTTTTGAAACTTAACAGTTTTTACAAAAAGACGAAGAAAACACTGCTGCAGAAAGAAAAAGGTGTGTTACAAACTAAATAGATGATAGATGTTCACCTCCCCCCACCAATACCATGAGTAGAAGCCTCTTCCAAAATCTGATTTTGTAATGGTTAGAAATATTTTAATAGGCAGTTTTCATGTAGTATTTCTTCTCCAGTGTTGTTTTCTATAATAACTATGGTAAATAAATCTGTTAGGTGTTGTATTCAGGATTATTCTACAGTCTGTCTCTGGAAAGTCAGTCTCCCATGATGTGATTCTTCACAGTATGCCCTTTTGTAATAGCATTATATGGATATTTAATATATCCAGCATAACATATCTATGTAGAGTACAGGGAGGATGAAAATGGGCCCCATTAAATCTCTTTTAGTACCTTTTTCAATTTTTTTTTTTAAATTTCCTTCCTGAAACTGATTTTTTTTTTTTTTACTATTTTATTTGTCCCCAACAAAAGAGGGGATACTTTGTACTTCATGGTGCTGAAGATAGGTTTTCCTTTGCCTTTATCAACTGACAGCATCTTTTAATTTCATACGATGTCATTATATTAAATGGGTGACATCACAGCCATGGATAGATATCCTTTTTATGGAAAATCAGATCTTATTAAATGGGTGAAAATTGTTTAGAACGAAAAAAGTCTTACCCATGCAGTAACTGAACTTTCAGCAAAAACTACTTATCCAATATAAATATCTATTGTCTAGTGCCTAGAAGGATCATGGTCTGATCCAGTCCAGGACTGCACTTTGGACTCAGGCTGCTGTAGCTTGATAGCAGATCCAGCAAACTTGAGAATGCCAGGAGTGCAATAGCCTTTAGTTGACAGACCATCAATTGAATGCAATAGAACATCTTTCTTTATTTTATTATTATTATAGTTCAATGAATGACTTCTGCACAAGTGCCAAAATTGCATAGTCCCACTATATTTTTGAATAGGTAGTTAATAACAAAGCTACACTAATACCAGCTAAAGAGTGAAAATACAAATCATCCATTCATTTGTGGAACACTTTTTATTTTCTCACACTTCTATTACAATTCTTTGTGCAGGTAGGTTAAGCAGTTTGCAGTGTGACTTGTGTCCTGTGGACATGTTACACAATCCCTCTTTTCCAGCATTTCTGAACAGTGGTTTTGGTTTTCTCTTTGTTTGTTGTTTTAGTGTGAGTTGTTGCTTTTTTTCTTATTTCTCTCCAAGGAAAAAGACAAAAAAGAACTTTCAGGAAGAGTTTTCTGCCATGTTCTAAAGAGAATTGGAAAACTCTGTAGAAAACAGGAGGGTAGGTGGTTCAGAAGCTGTTGTCTAATTCTCCTTAGCAACCAAAAAATATTCAGTGTTCTGGATCTGTGTTTCAGAGAGCACTTTAAAATAGAAAAATTGTAATTAATTTCAGGAAGCACTCTTCTTTTATTCTTAATGGTAACCCCCTAAAATTTAAAAGCCTATAAAGTGTGCCATTACGTGGAAAATTTAGAGAGAGTAATATAGTATTCTAAATACTGCACTGGTAATTAGATATTGAATGGCATAGCTACTGCTCATTATTGACTTCTCTGCTCTTCATATACTCTAAGTCCTTAAAGAATAAAAGAAAATGTCACTGCTTTCCCTGAAGGAAATTGGAAAATCTAATTTGTCTTACGATCTTTCAGTGAAGCTAAAGACAATAAATTAGGAATATATTTTCTACTCTTCACAGACTCCTACATGGACTCCAGCTGCTTGGAAAGCAACTATCAGTGAAAGCAAAATTTTAAACTGAACAGCGCACATGCAAAACAATAACAATGGATATTAGTAAAATTTTACTTCCTGGTACAGAGCTGATTTGAAAAAATACAGACTATAAACATACATGTATTGGATTTATTTTATGGATGTTGTAAAATCTTTACTTGTTATTAAAATGCCTTCCTCATCCTACCCCAAATGAGATCCAAATTCCACAGCAAGCAAAAATTGAATATATTTCTTCCAGTGTAATATTTCCTGGAGCATCTATACCCAATTCAAAGTAGCAATTATGAGATTTACATATGTGTGTTGCCTTCTTAATGCAATTTTTAATACTATCTAGCAAAATTTAACTGTAAGGCAGCCTTTTCTAAGAACTGTGACTGTTTTTTGACAGTGAAAATAGGAAAATAATCGTTTACCTTTTTGTACTAAATTATAGTTAGCTGTGCTGTTAATGGGAATTTTATAGACTGAAATATGGTTCTGTTAGGCGTTGCAGAACCTCACAGCTTGACAGAGGCAAGGGTCCCACGGCAACATGTCACCACACTGAGGCAACAGCAAAGCTGTGAGAGCATTCCCAAGAGGCACAAGCACAGTCATGCCACACACACACACACACACACACACACAC